GACTGCCACTTAGATACCCCAGCCTTGGCCATGCTTTGTAATACCCAAAACAGCACAAAGGAAAATCGGCAATTAGCAATTCAATGCCAATCTCCCAAGGAAACCAGGGAGCCCCCCCCCCCCGTCCACCAAACCCTCTGCCTCCAATGGGTGTTACCCCCTCCAACAGGCAGTAGTGGGAAGAGGGTGAGTCTTTGTCCCCTTCCAGTTATCAGATCTAAAGGAGACCAAAAAGGATTCAGGTAGTTACTCAGACAATCCTGTATATCCAGGCCTTCATTACTGTGATCCAAACCTTTGAATTGACATGGAAGGATATCATGCACCTACTGGACAACTCTTTCTTCCTTAGAAACATGACAGGCCCTGACCCAGGCCACCCCAGTGGAGGAATATTTCCATCTATAATGTGCCCTGATACCTGTGGCACCAGGAAATGAAGGGATAGAAATTCCCATGGCCACAGGGGCACAAGTGCTCCCTTTGGTGAACCCCCACTGAGATCAAAATAATGGAAGAGATGAATGGATAAAATACCACTTTATCCATCTGATAGTAGAAGGACTAAAAGGGCCAAGGATTAGCCTCTAAATTATTCCCAGGTAACTGCAGTACAACAATGCCCTGATGAAAACCTCCTTATCTTTCTGCAGCATCTTAAGGATGCTATCCTGAAACATACCTCAGTAGACCCAGAGTCACAGGTGGGAGAGATTCTCCTTAAGGATAAATTTCTAACTCAGTTAGCCCCAGATATCATAGAAAACTCCAAAAGTCTGTGGCTGACGTGGAAGTCATTGGACCAAGTAATTCAACTAGCCATGTCTGTATACTATAATCAGGACCTCACTAAAAAGAGAGAAAAGAATAAAAAAAATCATGACCTAATCATAGCTCTCAGGGAGTCCCCCACCTGATCACCTGATTTGGGAGTACATCAACGAATCAGCTACTATTGTGGACAGGAGGGGCACTGCCACAGGGAAAGCCCCAAAGGGGGACAGCCTGGTAGACAGCCCTGCACCTCCCTGGGACCTTGTCCCATCTGCAATGGTAAACACTGGAGGTCTAAGTGCCCCCATCTCCAGGCAGAAGGTGAGATGCCATCTCCTATGGATTGATGGTTCCCAGGGCCTCCTGTCCAGGCTCCACTTCTTGACAACAATGTCAAGGAGCTTCTTGACATTAATGTTGAGAAGCCATAACAGTGCAGAAGCAAAAGGTCATCTTTCTCTTAGACAGTGGAGCCCATTTCTCTGTCTTGCGATTTTCTCCTGGTCCCTGGTCCAACGACAAGGTTATCGTTTGGGGCATATCTGGCCAGCCCCTGGATCACTATTTCACCCAGCCTCTGGCCTACTCTTGGGTAGACCTCCACTTCTGTCACTCTTTTCTTATAGTCCCTGAGACTCCAGCACCCTTGCTGGGGTGGAATTTACTATGTCAACTAAAGGCTCAAATTTTGTTATTACAACAGGGGGACTATCTTTGTTGTCCCCCCCTTCAGGAACAAGTAGATCCTATGGTATGGACTGATGGAGTAACTGTAGGGTGAGAAAAAATGGCCCTTCCAATTCAAATAAGACTTAGAGACCCTTCATAGTTTCCACATCAAAAGCACTATTCCCTAAAGCCCAAAAGATGGCAAGACCTCTTAAAAATTATTAGTTCCCTAAAAAAACAAGCAGTACTAGTCAGTTGCTCCAGTCCCTACAATTCTTCTATGCTTGTTGTCTGAAAAGGACCAGATAAATGGAGACTTCTTTAAGATCTCTGGTTCATAAATGAAGCAATCATTCCTCTCCACCCTATTGTTCCCAATCCCTATACTCTATTGGCTCAAATATCCTCCAAAGTTCAATATTACTTGGTATTAGACTTAAAGGATGCTTTCTTCTGCATTTCCCTACAGCCTGACAGTCAGCCTCTGTTTGCCTTTGAAGACCCCCACAACCTCACAACCATTAGTACCCCTCACAACAATTGACCTGGACAGTTCTGCCTCAAGGGTTTAGAGACAGCCCTCATCTTTTTGGATAGGCCCTCCTTCCTTCTGTCCAGACAACATGGTCCTGGTCAAACTTCCCCAAGCCTCTTGGGGATTTTCTGAGGTCCCCTGGGAGAGGCCCTATGTGGTTCTATTGTCTACCTGCACTGGTGTCAAGGTCTCCAGATTAGATTCCTTGATTCATATTTCCTGGCCAAACATTAGACTCCAGATCAGGACACTCCCACTCCTGAAGACCAACATTCAGCACCATTGACCTACTATTGTGAACCTCTGGAGGATTTAAGGCTGCTATTCAAGAAGAAACAATCCAAATGATGATAGGGTCTGTGACCATCTTCTTGTCATTTTACAGCCTGGTGAACAAGATCAAGTTCCACTTCCTTGTCTGGGAATATTCCCCTGTTCCAACACAAGAAACTTGTTGGTTTCTACCATGGCCTGATGGAGACCACTTATGAGACAGACACCTTTGCTCCCCTCTCCCTGCATTGCCCCCTCCCAGCAGGAAGCAACCAGATGAGTCATTGCTCCTAGCCCAACAGCAGTTGGGTATCCCTCTCAGAGGGGGGACTTGTTGGGTCTCAGCAGCATGAGAACAAAGAATAAGTTCAGGGAGTACCTTAATGTTGAACCTCCCGAAACCAATGGAGCTGTTTCACAAGTGGGCCTCAGAAAGGAGTACCTGGGCATAAAACACCAGGGTGAAAAACAGGATATAGCCTCCATAGGCTGCTGACAGGTGCTGACCATAAGCTGCTGATGGGTGCTGACTATGTAGCTAGGGGAAGAAGAAAACCTCTACCCCTTCCTTCTGACAGAAGATAAAAGAGTCCTTCTGCTGTTACTGCAGGGAGCTAAGGGTTTCAGGGCTCCACTTCATTTCTTCAGCTGCAGCCTTTTCTGTCCCTAATAAATATACCTGTGTGTGCACTCTTTGTGTCTTGTGTCTCATGAGTTTATTCCTAAGCCCAGCAAAGAGAAGAACCCCTGGAATGGCCCCCCAACACTTCCTCAGCAATGTGCAGGTTTATTTATTAGAATATTGTGCTAAACATGTCACAGCTGAAATTATATTCAGTTTCAAATTGGACAGAAATAAATTACTTTACTTTTTGGTTACACTCTTCATCCTGATAATTTTCAGCAGCTGAACTTTAGAAAATTAAAACCAATTATTGTGGCATTTTAAAGCATCTGAGTTGTTACCTTAATGTGTACAAATATTTTGAATATCAGTCCAAGAAATGGATATTTTTTCACTATGTAAATAATCAAACTAATGTTCTGATATTGGTTTGATTTACTATTAGTGTTTTGTTATAACATTAGATGCAATTATTTTTCATATTTTTGAGATATGTTCTTAAAAAAATCACCAAAATTGGATGATAGCTCCCATGGCTCTGCTAAGATTGTATCTCCCCACATTCTGCCTCTAGAAAGAACTCTGCTACATTTTTGAAGTTGTTATACACATACTGTTAGTATTTTATATACATTAAACCTTTTAGAAAACAAGCCTATTGAAGTGCAAATCGCCAAGGAAATTCAGAGACACTGATTTCTTTCTCTCCGTCAGTATTCTCACTTGACTTGGGAGTCCTTGAATTAGAATCCTGCATTTAAACTGCTGTTCAAATGGCCATAGCCCAATCACCCAGAGTTCATGATAATTTAGAAATAATTGTGATAAAAGCCAATTCACTTTTTTTTTTCTATTCAGTGGAACCAGGGTTTGAACTCAGGGATTAGCACTTGCAAAGCAGACACTCTAGAACTTTAGCCACACACCCAGTCCATTACTTTTTCTGGGTATTTTTTGGAGATAGGGTTTCATGAACTATTTGCCTGGGCTGGTCTTGAACCATAATCGTCCAATTTCAGCTTCCCACATAGCTAGAATTATAGCCATCAGCCACTGGCACCTGGCTACTAAGTCAGTTTTGATATTATTTAAGTGCTAGTGTTAAGTAGATCTTCTGGCTTTGTACATCATTTTTAAAAGTAACCACCACACAAAGGGTAAGAGAGTTATCAGTCTCTCCATTCTGAACTACCATTTTAGCTTCACAGGAAACTATTCCAGGATTCCAGTGCTCATCTCTGAATCCTTTCTGTCTTCTTTTAGTTGGTTTCTCTCTCTCTCTGTCTCTCTCTCTTTCAGTACTCTTGTTTGAACTCAATAGGTGCTCTACAGGCTTGAGCCACATTTCCAGCCTTTGTTACTGTTGCTGTTTTGGAGATAAGATCTCTTGTTTTTTCCCCAGACCAGCATGGACTGTGAAACTCCTATTTTATGCTTCCGACATATACGTGGGATGACAATCAGCCCCACTACACCCAGTTTTTTCTGTTGAGATATGATGTTACGAATTATTTTTCTCCAGCTGGCCTGGGTCAGAGATCTCCCCATTCTCAGCCTCCCAAATACCTATGATTATAGGTGTGAGGCACCAACACTTGGCAAGTTGTGTCTTCTTTTGATGTAGGATCCTCTGATATGTGAAAATTTGGTTTGCAAGATAAATAATTAGGAAAATTTAACTAATTTGTGTAGAACACCTGTAATCTACTTCATGTGACAAGTCCTATGAAATGATGATCCAGTTGATATGCTTTTGAATTATACAGAAATGCACCTTGACTTTGTCTGTTGGTAACAACATTTTGCACATATACAAAGTATTTCCAAGAGACTGAGCCTTTTACTTTAATATTTTTTCTTGCTTCTACAGAAAAAAAAACTAAAGCTGCCAATTATTTTTTATGTTTGTTAAAATGTCTTATATTAACATTAAATTTATAAATTTATGAGAAGAAGAAATTACACTATAAATTATATTATCCAATATTTTAAGATTTAAGTTATGCTAGAAAGATAATTTTATATGAATAGTAATGAAAATACATATGTGACTAAAAACAGAATACATAAATTTTAAGGTAAAGATGTTAGTTACTCATAAAGAGACTGAAGCATCATAACATATTAATATGCATATAATTAATTGTCTGACTTTCTATTGTGAAATTTAATTAAACATGTTCTAGCTATTTGAGTTTTGAAATGCTAGGTAAAATGCTAAGTGAAAGATGTGAGAGATCGATATTTTCCTGCTGGCATTTTTGTTTCAGCTACATAATAGCTTTCCTAGGAGGTGTGGAGAGAGCTACTGATATTTTGCCTTCATTTAAAGGAAAATGAACATCTATAAAGGGTAAATCTATTAATTAGAGACCATACAGCTCTCTTTCTTGCTAGTGTAATCGTTAAATTGATCTTTCCAGTCCCTCATGTAATTGTTCCAGCGATGGAATCCTGCTCTCCACTCTTGCTCTGCTTCATCAATATTTCCTGTAAAACAAGGGATGAAATTGCATTAATCTAAATTTTAATCTCTGTTTACATTAACTGAAATATAATTTTGATTACCCATGCCATTTTCTCCATGTATACTGCACAGCGATTTTTAATTCTTTGCTATATATCAACTTCTATTTCTATAATAAAAATTTTATGCAGCATATGAAAATACAAATATGAACAAAATGTATATAAAAGGTAAAAGATGTAAAATAAAAAATGAGTTTATATATTACTTTGTGTCAAAGAACATTGCATATGAAACTTTAGTTTCCAAGAAGATATATATGTGTTATTCTCATTAATTGACTCCTTACAACATAGCAAATAACTCATGAAATAGATCTAATTTATATAGATGAATACAATGAACATTACTTTGGATAAAATTCGTTATGTAAATATTGATTAATGAGTGATAACTTTGTAATTATTGTTTATACAGATTTTATACTCATTAAAATATATTTTAATTCTAAGCAATGCTTAATTGTTTCAGCTGTCTACTACATGAAGTCAGTTTATTGATTCCTTTGTAAAATAGATGACTAAGACAATCTTTGCTTTCATGAAGCTCACAAAGTATATGCATGTATCAGGGGAAAGAAGTGTTTAGGAAGAACAATGGAAGACAGTGAATTAAAGAAAAAGTTTATGCACTTCAAGTACTTTGAAATCCTGACTTTTTAAAAAGTGTATTAGATTAATATTAAAGTTCCAGTGAACATTAGAACTCTAAAATTATAAACTTCTAAATTATATATTTATGTTCCCAAAATAAGTAGAATTGATAAGAGTATAAATTGCTTAAATCTGTATTTTATAACTTGTAGTTCTCTTATTTTTAAAACATTTAAGAGGCTGAGCATTAGCAATTAAAATAAAAGCAAAATTTTAAGTAACTTTAAGTATCCTGAAACTAAGGACTGGCTTTTTGAAATATATACTTAGTAATTAGACAACTTTGAAATAAAAAAATGAATTTGGAACAGACCATTTAGTGATTCATTTTAAGTTCTAATGAAAGTCAAAATATTTAAAACGTATGTGCCATTAAAATATACATTGTAATTTATTAAGATATATTTAGATTTGGAATGTTTTTAATTCTTGGACATTGGACAAATAATTTTAAATTTATTTAAAATTTTCCACTTTTAAGTAAAAATGCCTTTAAATAGTGAATGACTATAATTTTTGTGAATAATATAGCTTTTATTCTTAATGGTCAAAAAGCACTAAGCGTGAAAAGGATAAATATAATACCAAATACTTTTCCTTTATACTTTGTTTAAATGATAATTAAATCTTTCTAAATGGTACATAAAACTGAACTTTAAAGCTCAAAAAAGAATATAATTTTTGATGTAAAAAGCAAATTATTGGTAATGTAGCATTAAGATCATGAAATTTAAACTTTCAAAAAGGAACTAATTTTCTTTTCATGTTCATGGACTGTTACAAAATCTGCTTATTCATATAAATGCAAATTTATATTTCTTACATGTCATGATCAAATATCTATGCAATTCAGTATTTTGAAAAACATTTTAGTGCACCAAGGCTCTGTGAACCTGGATACATTTTTTTCCTTTAAAAGTAGTTGGAACTGCTAATACAGTGAAATATGAAACATTTAATTATTTTCTAATAAAATCCAGAAAAGTGAATGTACCATAATAATGAAATGGAAGGTTTGAATGTTATAAAATACCCAAAACCTAACTAAAAATTCTTTCTCCTTTCCCTTATTCTGCTCTTTCCCCCTCTCTCCTTTATCTTCTCAACTCATATTAACATGTTTATTGCCAAGAAGATAAAAAAACCTAGTCATGAGACAATGCGTTTATTATCACCACCAGCAACATTCGTTTATGGTGGCACATCACAAAAAAGGATTCACCTCATTCAAAATTTGAGAGAAGGAGAATCATTAGAGTAGGCAGTGTATTTGATCTGTAGTTGACTAATTAAACCTAACTGGGGTGAAACTCAGAGGCAAAGTCCATGCTTAGCATGTGTGAGGTTGTTGTTTTGATCCCTACCACTGCCACAAACACAACAGAAAAATCATTATTATGTCCAAACACAATGCTCCAAAATGGGATTTTATCGGATTCTACTCTTAAAATCTACAGGGTTTTAACAGAATGGAATAGCTGTTAAGGACAAGAGAATACAAACATGCCTTCAGTCACCGAGGAATAACAATCCTGCCCTAATGTCTCTCTTTACAACCAGATGTTTCTAAAAGTCTATAAATATACTGATGATAGCAACATTAATCAATACACCATACATGTAAAATTCTTGTAAGGGAGGGAAAAAAATTTTTAAAAAGCTTCAAAGTGGCTCAGAGGAAAAAATGCAAACGTCAAAAAATAGAAAAAGAATGTGAAGGATAGCACTAATTTAAAGGGAAAATATTGATCAACACTTGAAAATATTCAAGGGATATTTTAAAAACAGATTAACCCTTGCCATCTTTCTTCAACTTTTTAAGAAAGAAAGTATGGTAATGTTTAGAAAGTCATTGTTAGTAGTATTACTTTCTCTTTTTCTCCAATGGAAATACATTGTTTCAGACAATGACAAAAAGTAATGATGACTGTGATATATTAGGAAATACTTTTTATGAAGGAGTATCAATCAATTGACTGAACTTCCTGAGTTTTTCTATAAAAACTATATATAAAATATCCTTTCTATTTATGCTATACAATGTTTAACCTGTCCAATTGTATGTAAGAAAAAGTATGTTCACTTTATTCATGATATCAACAATGGAGCAAATGTTATTTATTCATTGTTTTCAATTCATGTATTTAAATAATATATCTCAAATAAAGTAACACAAAAAAGAGAAAAGTGGAAGAACACAGACAAATATGTAGAACAAATTAAGTGAAAAAATAAGGGTTGGCCGTATGAACAACAGACATGGAATTAAACAAGGTAAAAAGTAAATGAGCAAAAATTATTTATGGATAAGATTAAAAACTTCAAATTAACAGAACTTACAATTCCAGCCAGTTTTTCTAAATAGCATCAAAATTGAAACATATAAGGTAAAATCACTATTCAAATATTTAAGATATATTAGGAGAAATAAATATTGTAGAATTTTACTCATCTCTATTGTTTCTTGAATAACATATTTAGCAACAAATTTAATGTTAAATACTTTAAAATGAAACAATTAAAAACAGTTTTAGAATATTTTAAAGAAAAACTAAATATAAATGAACAAATTATAAATACATAAAATGAAAAAACAAAAAGCTAGTATATTGATACAAACCAACAAACAAAAGGAGTTTTTTGATTGAATTGCACTACCTCAGAAATGAGGTATGTAATAGTTCACCAACTCTAAGTAGACTAGATAGAAAATTCTCATATGCAGTGAAAGCTAATGCATTCATGAATCAATAACCAGAACATGTCAGCCTTCCTTTTAAAATTACTAAATGGCTTTGCTTAAGATAGAATTTAAACTCATTAGCATGACGCACAGACATTTCACTCTGGTCCTGCTTATCTAGTTTCTCTCCACTTTGCCTTCATATTAAGATTCAGTGCAGGCATCTTTCCTTAAAAACTTTCAATGATCCTGGACCCTGATTCCACTACCTCACTGTGAGTGAATAGATGGTCACTTCTATTTGAATATCTCTATTATCTACCAATGCAGTTCCTAGAACACAGTAACAGAGTATAAACACCTTAAAGTTTTATCAAATGAATTAATGAAAAAGTGAAGAAAAAAAATTATATTCCTGCCAGGCATTTTGGTATACATGTGAAAACATTTCCTAAAAATGTTCAGAAATTTGTTAGCTGCTAGCTACCTAGGAAACATAATCCAATCAAACCCACTACAAAAGTCCAGTTGTTTAGCAATTATTTTCCTCTTTCCATATTATTCATGTTTTCATGAGTAGTTTATTTAGGATAACTTATTTTTATTGAAATTAATCAACATTTTATATATGCTTTTATTAATCTTAAAAAATGTTAATTTCAGATGAAATATTCTTCTTCTACCAGTCATTCACAACCCCCTACCCCAAAAGTCCTCTAGGACAAATTTCAAGTCCTCTAGGATATCTTAAGGCTGGAGTTATATCAGTATTACTCATCCTAATGTATAATTTTGCTACCATATTAATCTCCTAATACAGATAAAAGTACATTTTAAAGTCTCCAGATAAAGAAACTCTTAAAATTTTGTAAAGAATAAATAAGTAGTCAAGAATAAAGTTAAATTCTGGAAGGTTATTAACTAATATTGTGTGTTATGAAAAATGATAAATAATGAAGTTTTTGTTTCCTTAAAAATAATTGCCCAATGGAGTAGTAAATATATGTAGAAACCATGAATATTCATGACAGAATGTACATAAATATATTCAGCAACTCATAGTTTTGACCTGAATATTGTTTGGAAAAGAATACTCCTTTATAGGAAGGATAGGAATCTTAGGACATAAATTCAATAAGTTTATACATATAAACATGAATATATTTTAAAACTGTTTATATATGCATCTAGATACATGCAACCTATTTGCAATGATTATTATTCAGCTTTCCTATTCAGCTTTTCTTATCAATTACTTTAATTGTTATTTGTAACCAACTCAATTGTATGAATGATTTAACTACTTTTAAATTATTCAAATAGCACAAAGTATTTCCTGAATGTAAGAGTTAATCTGCTTTTGGTGGGACTTGGGGGAATGTGGAAGAGGAGAATGAAATCATCTTTGTCTGGTGATTCACAGGATAAAGACAAGGGGATAGACATGGAGGTGACATGGAAAATGGTAAGGTCACAAACTGATTGACATTATGTTTTCAATTCACATATTTGTGAACTTTGTTTTGTATGCATTGTTTCTCATTTGAAAATTAAAAGTTTATGCTTTTCATTAAAAATAAGAATTAGTGTTTGTCTTGCCAATAAAGAAGAAAGAAGACGTTTAGAGTGGAACTCAGACTGAGAATTAAGGGATGTTTAGTTCATCTGGGCTGCTTTAACAAATGCCATACGCTGAGTGGCCTGTTAAAGAACAGACACCTATTTCTCACATGCAAATTCCAAGATGAATGTTCCAGCATATCCGATGTCTGGTGAACACTTGGTTCCCACTTCATAGATGGCAATCTCATCGTGTGTCCTCACACATAGGAACTAGAAAGTTATCTCAGGCCTTTATAGTAAGAACATTTCATTAATCCCACTGATGAGATCTCTACCTTCATGATCTCATCACCTCCTGAAAGACCTACTTTCTAATACCATAACCTCAGGGATTAAGAATTCAACATATGAATTTTAGTAGGACACAAACACTCAGACCACAAACAGGAGAGAACACAAGAAAGGTGAATCAACCCAAAATTGCTACTGGAGGTAAAGCTAGAGGAAGCAATTACATGGGTAATGAATTGTGATGAGCATAATAATTAAAAGCATAATTCATTTTTCAAGAGTTCATTGAAAAATCTCTTTTGTTCCTGGTCACATGCTTATTTATCTATTGTCAGTGATTTACAAAAATTATTAAGAAATGCATAATTCCTTTTATAGTAGATTACAAATTTTACTTTACTTGTTATAATTTGAGGGTGGGTTGAGATAGTGGAGTGAAGTACTTTAAATTCATGTTATGTATTATGAAAACTTCTTGTACTATTAATGTGAAATAAATAGTTAATTGATTCAACTATTAATATCACAATCTTCTGTTTGATTTATCTTAAATAATACATGGAAATTTCAAGCCTATTTAGAAAATAAATCTATTTTGATATTTTTATTGAAATCATTTTTCCACTCTCACATCTGTGATTGTCATTCTTGCTCATTAATTGCCAAAGAGCAGTGACTGACTATACAAAGTAACCCATCCAAAAGACATCCGAAGCTCTTAAATTTAGAGGTGGTCTTCTTTAGTTTTGGCAAGCAACATATTCCATTATTCATTCAAAGGCCAGTAGAGGAACCATTGTAGCTAACATATTTCTTTAATGATATGAAGGTCAAAGAATATTTTCCTTTAAGTAAATGTATTCTTTCATTTTTTGAAAATATATCATTGATGACAATTAGTGGGTGATTTACATCCTTTTCTTTTTTGAAGCATGTATGAGATACTTTTCAGTGGTAATCTTCCTGAAAATATGATGCAGATAACTTTTGAAACAAATGCTACAAATTTATTTCTTGCAGGTACAATACAGCATAGATATAGGCTGAAGTACAGCCTGGAAGTGAAGTGCTAGAATTCACATGTTTAAACAAGTCTTAAGAATCATTTTACTTGAGAACATTTATTGCTGAGTGTAAACTACAACTGAAGTGGTACTTATAAGGCTTCTTGCATGTCCATCTAAAGTGTACTAAATATTTATTCTTTTAAAAAAATTCTCATTATTCATTTATTCACATGTGTGTACATTGTTTGGGTCATTTCTCTCCCCTCCCCCCCATCCTCTCCCTCCCCCTCTCACTCTCTTAAGAAAGAAAGTAAGTAATAAATCTTTGAAATTTTTCTTTGATTATAGACCAACATTTAAAGTATCCCAGAAAAAGTTTAGTTTAGGTATGTAAGTAACACCAATTTTTAAAACATTAAAGATAAAATATTCAGTTTTGAGAGCCAAAAAATACAAGGTATTTTTATTGCTTTCTAATCCCCCTACATTGCTTATTTACAAAATCTAATACATGCAACTTCAAATTGATTGTTTAAATGGATCAGTTTTTTAAATTCATGGTTGGTGTTACAACAATCATGTCTGCATTTACTTTGGAATTTACAAAATATCTTTAGTATGAAAAGATTTGGGGGAGAAAGCATTTTGAAAACTATGTTAAAATATAAAATCATATCTGAAGACACACTGGAAGAACCCTTAACATGGTGGCAGTCCAGACCCAGTTATGGCATTTCTGTAACTTTACTGTTGTTCATGTAGGTAACTGTGAGGCATTGGTAGAAGCAGCAGCAGCTGGCCCCAAATTTTGGAATTTATTTATGAAAAATGTTTTGTGGCAGATAAGTACTTAGAGATAGAGATTTTTGAATTTTATCTTGAAAAATGACTGGTACTCAATTTTATTTAATTAATAAAGAAATTGCCATAGATCACTTGTGTCTAAACCACAACCAAGTTTAGCTTGCAATAAATACAAATTATGATCACCTCTGCATTCTCCCTTTATTTATTTTCCTATAAATTAATACCATCTCATTTAAGAATATTTTAAAATAACAATTAAGAATATGCGGTCTGTTATATGTTAAATGGTATTTGTTTGGAGGTCAGAAAATTAAATGAGCTACCTAATTGTTATTCATACCCAGTGGATTCAAGGTCTGCACTGTTGTTCTGCCAAGGGGTTCTGAGACCCAACTCTGGTCATATACTTATCACACAGCTTTTGGTAATACACAGAGCACTGCTACACAGAAACATCTCCCAAACAGATGGAGTACACAATTATAATTTTGGTGAGTAAAGTCTGTTAATCAAAAGGCATATTATACAGTTTATTGAATCTTTGAGATGTTTTTATTTGTCTGAAAATAACTCCCAAATTTTCTAAACAAGAAAATAAAAGCATACACTGTTTTGAGATACACAGTCTGAACAACACAAAGTTATGGCAATCAGAATGGTGGAACTGGCCAGCAGTGTCCGGTGACTGCAAGTTGGTTACTTTTTGAAAATGAGACCTGTTTAAAGTATTTCAGGAATGGGGATGGGGGATAAAGGAGAATGATAGAGGGGGTGAATTCAACTATAATATATTGCAATAACTTTTGTAAATGTCACAGTGCACCCCCAGGACAACAATAACTTTTTTTAAAAAATAAAAATTTAAAAGTTGAAAATAGATGTGTACCAGTGGGAAGGGGGAGGTGGCAGAAAAAGGATGTAGGAGGGTGAATATGGTACAAATATTGTGTGAACATGTATGTAAATATAAAAATGATATGCTTTGAAACTATTTCAGGAATGGGAGAAAGGGGATAAGGAGTTTCGGAGGAGGTGAATTCAAGTATGACATAGTTGTTACATTATAAGAATTTTTGTAAATGCCACATGCACCCCTATCCAGCACAACAATAAAAAATATCAAAAAAGGACTAAGTGAATATAAAAATGACGTGTATTTTAAAACTAGGCAGTGGTTTGAATATGTGTCGGTTTTCTCCAAGATCATCAAAGTTAGATGATATGTTTTCTTTAAAATTTCCTTAAGTTGATTGAAGTATTTAATAAATAATATTTACAATTGAAATAATATGCTACTCTGAAACAATTTTCCTAGCATTTCCTTATATAGCTTTAAGTCATCACACTCTGAGGACTAGCTAATGAAATTATTGTTTATGATATTGGTCAATTTATAGGTACATCTATGAGTGCATTCCTGAATTTTCATATGCAAATTTTGAAACTTTCCTTCTTAGATGCCAAGCCTTACTATTTATCAATAAATTTGTTTTTATCTATTTTTGAGTACTTAATTTTTAGTTCTATTCATTTTTTGATTTTGTATATCCATTTACACATTTATCCACTAATTAATTTCTCAAGGATCAGCTGAAGAGTAGGCAGGACACCATTTAGAGTCTATGTTTCTCTGGGAGGAAATTTTGGTTTTTTTCCTTTTTAATAAAATGTTATTCACACAGTAAGTGATCAAAACACATGTAAACTTCATAGAAGAAAACTGATAAAATAATGAACTCACTGAAATCAAGTAACTATAAAGCATAGGTGTGTATATTAACACCATATCTTAAGTACTCTATCTTTTCTTTCACTTACATGGTACACAATTGATTAACCAAATGTTTAAAAAACACACACACACCTGTCATTTCCAAGACTTTGGGAAAAAATAACTTCCAGAATCGGCACTGTTGAGTACGTGGTTTCATGTGTATTCTTGGTGACTCTGTGTTCAAGGATAGGTATTTTTGTTCAGTACTTTTGAAGACTGGCCATCCTGTGCTATTGCTCTGGGTCCCATTTGGATGTCTAAATAATTAGAGACATTATAATTCTTTTGAAGTCATTGTTAGAAAAAAGTATTATGTTTTAAAAACTGTTAACAAGAACTTTTAAACAATTCCAAAAATACTGATATATTTTGATGATTTCAAGTATATATCAACTGCTTTGAGAATATTGAGTACCTTGAAACAATATAGCATACAAGGATAAAAACATTTTTCAATTTCAATAAAATATTTCATGATTTGTACTGAAATATACTCACAAAGGCAGTGTAATTTTATTCCATTTTTTTCTTTTATCCCAGATGCATCCTCTTCACAATTTATCTTAGCACCTACTCAGTGTCTTACATCAATTTCATTTCCCTTATTCTTGTCAGTTCTGCCTGAATTTGGGACTGACCACTTATCTTATTATATAATGATTCTGTTATTCTAGGAAATTACTACACCTGACTTTTAGTATCATCTTAATCTTTCTATGGCTAACTAATTAAAAATTCCTCAGTAATTCCCACCTGGGTTCAGATCAAGGTAAAATTGCAGGATTTAGGTCACATTTCTGAGCTTATTCCCAGAATAATGTTCTATTCACAAACCAGCCAAGAGGAATTAGTGACTATGCACTGTAATTCCTGCCTCTATTTAACTTCTTTGCCTCTGCTCTAGCTATAAGTTCTTAAAACTCTTTTATTTCCTAATCTCATGGCTTAGTTCAGAAACTTCATATTATCTTTTTTGCTGATATCTTATATAGATGATTCTAATTTTAAAATAAATAACAATTGACTATATTTTTTAATATTTTAAGCTTGTTTGTAACTTTGTGGCATTCCATAAATATTACTGAGGTTACATAAATGGAAATGCAATTATTATTATGAGTTAAATACTAAGCTGGGATCTACTGATACAAATATATTTGGGACATATTATTTCCCTCAGGGAATTCACCAGCAAAAACATCCATGGAAACAAAGAATTGACAATGCAATATATCCAAGTTAAATAAAAGGACAGAAATTGTCAAAAGAAACAGGCATCACTGCATATTCAAAAGGAAGTCACCCAAAAGAATGGGATTCTGGTTGATGTAAGGAGAAGAAATACAGAACAGAACCGGAAAGATAAGTAGGGAGAGGTAACAGAATTAATATAGAAATAAATAAGGAAACTGCTTCTTAATTAAATTTAACGATGAAAAACTATTCTCTAGAAGTAATTATTGGAGTTACAGATTCATAAAATTTGTGTTATCACATTAACATCTGACAGCCTAGGAAAGTGGTTTAGACTTTAGCTTGTTCTTCAGGGATTTTTGACAACAAAAAAAGACTACTGCAAAGGCACTCATTTAGAAACATTGACCTGACTACTTTGTGGGTAGTTGCGTGTACTTCTATCATAAACAGATGAATGAAGTTTATGATAAAGATGAGAGATCTATTCCTTTCTTTTAGCTAATATGTTAAGCAAAATCATATAAGAAAAACTCCCAGCAGATTTTTCTAAAAGTTCAGCACACAAAATTCGTTGTTCATATATAGCATCTGTAAATTATTAATACATAGAAATTTGGGAGTAGTGTAAGTACATACAAGATAATGTTTGAGGTGGAGAGGGAGTCTCAACACAATAGAAATTGGAAGAAAAGCAGACATTCATCAACAAGTTTATCTAGAGGCAGGTTTTACCTCTAGGAACTTACACAGATAAAGCACAATAAATTCATATTGTCATAGAAGCAGGCATATCATCCATGACTTCAGGAGTTTTAGATACAAACAGCTTCCTGATGGACTAGTTGATGTTATGTTACAATTGGATGATTTAATAAGGATTGTTAATAACCAGAACTGTTCATGCTAAACGGTGGTAGAATTGAAACCTCCTGCTTTAGGGTATTATTTGAGAGAGGTCAAGAAGAAAATTTCTTTAGAACACAGATGGTACAATTGTCTAAGAGAATTGATGCAGTTCTTTTCCTTTCAGGCTGTAGAAACTAACAAGTGCAGCTGTTGGAGGTTGGATATTAAGGCAGGAGAACCAATGGTCTGATTCAGTACAGCAATTCTTATGTTCCTAAATTGCCCACTTTCCTTCTAATTCCACTCTAATTAACTTATGGCACCATTTTAACAGCACATTCATTTTTGGCTTTTGCAAATGGTGACTTAAACAGAGCTGATTTATACTTGAGTTCAAGAGCAATGCACTAATGGCAATACCTGAGTTCATTTAGCAAACTTTGTCATATGAAATAACTTATGACATTCCAAACTGTCATTCAGAGATAATAAAATTCCTTTGCCTATGGCTGCAGACAGTTTCAAAAACATGATTGAAGTAGTTATTGAAGTGACAGAGCACTTGAATCTATAATTTGAAGAAATCTCCTAAGAACTTAAAATTTATAAAGAGATACAATTCTCTTCCTATTGTGAAATACAGCATATTTCACAGATCTACAATTCCAGAACACTATATAATCCCAATCTCAAAATTTTAAGAGTCATTTAAACATCTCGAGTGTGTTATTTCTTCAAAACATTTTTGCTTTTGTCACAAAATAGACTTCAAAGTGCTTATTCCTAAAGTATTTCAAAAAATAGAAAAGACTCTGCTTTATTTTATTACCAGGTTCTTTTTCATACTTTTTGACATACCAAAATGGTTCAAAAGATCATCTATTATAATTTTTCTCTTATGTAGGTTTGAAAGACTGTGAGACATACCCTACTTAACCAAAAAAGGCAGAAATTGTCTTCTTGACATCTGTGTTACAAAAAAATTATCTTCCTGTCATTGATACTTGGGCAGATATTTAACAAGTCATTTTGTGACTAGATTAACAAAAATACCATGAATTGACATAAGGTGTCCTAATAAGAAGTATGCACTTAGTTGCAAATGAATGTTTTGTTGGAATTATAGAACCTCAATTGCGCCTATCCAATCTTAACATGGAAATTATCATTTTCCTTAAGAACTTATAATTTATAATGTAAGAAACTTATTTTCAATTGACTTGTATAGTTGATTTTAAAGTGAATGTATTATGATATGTTATAAAATCTAGTAAAATGAAACCATGGTTAGTAGTTATAAAAGCCAATTGAAGTATTTCACTGTTCCCAAGAGGACTAGTGACAGTAATATCTTAAATATACTAATATAAAAATACTGATGAATTTATATTTCATGTTATAATAGTGCTAATTACATTTCTAACTTAAGGAATGGAGGGAATGTAAGAGAAGTATACTTTAGAAATCAAAATCATACATTAGTGCAACAAATTTTTGTAAAGTATGAACTATGTCAGATATTATTTATTGGACTCACAGGAAATTAAAGAGACAAAATAAAAATTCTTGAATTTAAAAATTTTCAAGTATAAGAGATATTGATAATAAACAACATCAATAAAAATATTTAATGCATTACATAGTAATAGGTACTTGAGATGATAAAAAACTGAGGAATTTGGATAGCAGTGAATCCAAGGGAGCATCAATGTGTAGAGGGTATTGTAGGTAGGGTAGTATAATCAAGACTTTGGCCTATTTAATATTTTTAAACTGATACACAAAATAAAAATTATTCATATTAATGGGGTGTCATATGATATTTTAACACATGGTGTAAAGTTTAAATCAGGTTAAATATATCTATCTCCTTAAACATCTGTCATTTCTACATGGTGAAAATACTTTCCTCTAGCTTTTGGAGATGCACAGTAAGGAATTAATATCTATAGTCACCCTACTGTAAATTACTACACAAGAGCCACTTCATCCTATGTAACCATAACTTAGTACTCCTTGATCAGTTCTTGCCTATCTCTCCTTCTTCCTTCTTTCCCCAGCCACTGGTACCATCATTTCAGAATCAACTTCTATAAGATCAACTATTTTATGTTTCACATATTTTATTGGCATTTATCCCTCAAACATAACCTCTCATGTTTGAAGTTGCACATTATACCTGAGAGTTAATACTAACAAGATGGCTCATCATGGCCACCTGATAATTTTGGCTAATGAGATGACTCATAGTGGGGCTGGCCACACTGAAAATTGGCTCTCCCGGAAGGATTAAATGTGTGAATAGAGATCTGATACTTCCATGCTTGTGATAGCCTGGTGCCTCAGGAAGAGAGGGGGTGGAAGATTGAGCCTCAACACATGAGCAACAATTCAATCAATCATGCCATATAATGAAATCCAATGAACAGTGTGGCCTCTCTGGATTGATGATACCAAACGTGTGCACTGCCATCATTGATGCCACTGAGGATCAAGAATGTCTGAAGACAGAAGCTTTGTGTTTGGAATTGCCTAGGCACTATTCTGCCTTCTCTGTCTCTTCTTTGGGAGGTTCTGATTTATATTCATTTGCTATAATACAACTACAATTGTAATTATAGAGTTTTAGTGAGGTCAATGAGTGGATTAGTGAATTATTAAATGTGAGGGAGTCCAGGGGACTCAAAATTTGTAGCAGCCTTGTCTGAAGTAAAGGTAGCCATGGTACTCAAACCAGTGACTAGTGACAGAAAATAGACTAACTTGACAATCTGGAGAGCTATGCTCTTAAACTCCATTTTGGCCAACTCCGGGCAAGGGAGATTTGTGATATTTGGTAGGAAAGGAACTTTAAAATGGAAATAAAGAAGAAGAGAAGCCAGCAATGCAGTAGTTTCAGGGAAGACTTTTTCCAGCAGAAGCTTTTCACAACAAAGGTTGCAAGATGTGCACATGCCTGGCCATTTTCCAACAAAATCAGGTAGGAGAATGTGATCACAGTGGAACCAGCTAGGATGGCAGTAGAAGGAGATGAGGTTAGAGAAGCGACAGGATATCCACATTGCTTAATGCTTCATCGGTTCTTGAAAAAAATTTGCATCTAGTGTAACAGGGGAAGCAATAAGAGGATTTGCACAAAAAAGAATAAGAAATCACTTGCATTATTTCAAACATCATTTGATTACAGTGTTGAAATAGAGTACAAATGGTTCAA